AAGCTTCAAACACTTGGATAATGGCTCCAGCAGTTGTCTAAACATTTAATTATTGAGTGATTAGCAAGTTTGAATCCTGAAAAGCAAGATTTATGCAACATGGTTTGAGATTTGATTATGTGTTCATCACAAAATTGACTTGTAATTCAAGTTTGAAACCCTAACTTCATCTCTTTGATTCTCCTAGCTCAGGAATAATATCAATGAGTCCTTGTATATTTTGGAAAGCTCGAAACATCCTATACAACTTTAATGTTGGCCATTTTGACAAAATCATCTTGGAGCTTGGTGAAAATTGGCCAAGAATTTAGGTCAAAAATCTACCTAAACTAGGTCAAATTTTCACTAAGTGTTTTTATAAAAAGTGCATGACTTTGTGAATTTATAACTCAATATCCAAGCATTTCTAGGACTTAATCAGTAAATCAAAGTTTTAGATATCATCAAGATCTATAACTTTCATGTTGAAAATTTGTTTTGAATGATCTTGCATCTTGGTGAAAAGTTGGCATGAAGTCATGAAAAAATAAGACTTAAAAACACTTAGAAAAATTCAAATCTTGAAAAGTTTGACTTTTTAAGATGACTTTTGACTTTCTTGATTTATTTATGATCAAGTTTCATATTTTTGAATGTCTTGATGAATCTTTGAAACTCAATTTTGATCAAAAGGTCAAAGTTTGACCTTTGGTGTATCAATTGACTTTTCATCAGTTAAGTGAATTTAAACTATCAATCAATTGATCTTGAGAAATTTTTGAGCTATGAAATTAGGTTAACATGTTATATTTTAATCCTTGACATTGTTCTTCAAACCATTAGATCATGTATTAGGTCAAAAACCCTTGATTAGTCAAATACAATCAAAATCTTAATTTTGACCATTTTTCCCTTTTGATGATTTGAATATTTTTCTTGGGGAATTGTGATCCAAATCTGATAAATTGATACATATAAATTCAAAATGTTGACTAGCGTGTAAGAATGTGAAAGTTTGAACCCCTTAAACTATGCACTAAGTGCTTTACTTATAATACATGAAAATAACTACTTTTTGGCAGGTTTCGCTTCCTTATTAGCCATGTGTACCTTGTAAATTCCCTTCATGAATCCACGTTTTCCATTCTTGCTATTGAATCCATGTTCTCTATTGTAACTTCCCTTCATGAACCCACATTCTCCGTTCTTGCTATCGAACCCAAGCTCTCTATTCACAAGGCTTTGCTTTGCTCGTTATTCCCTCTTTTGGGATTTTTAGCACTCTTAGGCCCAATCCATTTCTCATGAGGCCTCTCTTCTAGTCGACTGCATCTATAAACCCAAATTGGATTTTTATGAAACCTCTTCCGGTCGACAGCTTCTGTGGTTGACTTCCTATAAAAAATATTCAAAGAACCCTTTTTTCTTTTGATTGGACTTTGACCCCTTGGTAAAAATCCCAGCCAACAGTGAGACATACAAATCTTTATGAACTTTATTGTGATATATAAAATTCCTGAAAATATTGAATTATTCAATTCCAACTTTATTGAATTATTGTTAAGGTTCTAATAGTTATCCATGAACGAGATTTGTGTATTATTATTGATGATTGAAGCTAACTAAGGCCATTGGTAGGAAACAAAACAACATTAAAGAAGAAGGTGTTGAGAAGCTTTACTTTTTTTGAAGCAAATGTTACAAATTGAAGGACAATAGAAGCCTCTAGCAGCCTTGTTTGCTAGAGGCTGCTATTTTCTTTCGATTTGTAACCTTATCTTTAAGCAAAGTGAAACTTCTTTCAAAATATTTTTCAAACACACAGAGCAATTTTTAAAAAGTGAGCTAACCGATTAAGAGCCCGTAGATAACTACGGATGAAAAGGGTGCTAACACCTTCCCTTTTCATAACCTACCCCCGAACTCAAAATAAAAAAAAGGTCTTTCCTGTTCTTTCCACCCTTTCGTTATTGGATAAAAGAAAAGTTGGTGGTGAATCTTGCTATCCGCAAGATTTGTGATCAAACACAAAACCAAGTCAGTTCTCCTACCGTATTACAGGACCTAAAAGCAATAAAGCAGGAAACGCAAATAAAACAAAGACGTTTAAGCTGTAAAAATATATGACATAACATCAAGACAATTTAAAATAGGTAGATTCAAACATACATCGCCCGTGCTTGACTCATTTTACTCGTTCACTTGGGTACTCTTAGTGACTAGCGTGTAGGAATGTGAAAGTTTGAACCCCTTACAATATGCACTAAGTGCTTTATTTATAATACATGAAAATAACTACTTTTTGGCAGGTTTTACTTCCTTATTAGCCACGTGTCCCTTGTAACTTCCCTTCATGAACCCACGTTCTCCATTCTTTCTATTGAATCCATGTCCTCTATTGTAACTTCCCTTCATGAACTCGCGTTCTCCATTCTTGCTATCGAACCCACATTCTCTATTCACAAGGCTTTGCTTTGCTAGTTATTCCCCATTTTGGGATTTTTAGCACTCTTAGGCCCATTCCATTTCTCATGAGGCCTCTCTTTTGGTCGACCGCGTCTACAAACCCAAATTGGCCTTTATGAAACCTCTCCCAGTCGACAGCTTCTGTGGTTGACTTCTTATAAAAAATCTTTAAAGAACCCTTTTTTCTTTTGACTGGACTTTGACCCCTTGGTAAAAATCCCAGCCAACAGTGAGACATACAAATCTTTATGAACTTTATTGTGATATATAAAATTCCCGAAAATATTGAATTATTCAATTCAAACTTTATTGAATTATTTATAAGGTTCTAATAGCTATCTATGAACGAGATTCATGTATGATTACTGATGACTGAAGCTAACTAGGGCCATTGCTAGGAAACAAAACAACATTAAAGAAGAAGGTGTTGAGAAGCTTTACTTTTTTGAAGCAAATGTTACAAATTGAATGACAATAGAAGCCTCTAACAACCTTGGTTGCTAGAGGCTGCTATTTTCTTTCGATTTGTAACCTTATCTTTAAGCAAAGTGAAACTTCTAACACCTTTTTTTTTAATGGTTTTTCTTCCTAAATGTGGTGTTGGTTAGCTTGAATCATTAGTAATCATACACATATCTCATCCATGAATAGATGTTGGAACTTTATCAATAAATATTGGTCTTGAAACTGCAAAAGTGTAGTGGCTACAACCATCATACACATCATTAATGGTATCTGGTATGCATAAAATTAATCTAGATTTCAGGATTTTAAGATTAGTTAGACTTCTTATAGAGACACTATAACTCACAACATGGCTAGCAATATTTTTCCTTTCAACTATAGCACCTCAATGTTAGAGTTCTTTATTACCAAGACTTTCTCCTTAAATGCATCTTCCAAACTCTCAAGTTATTTTTTATATGTTGTGGAAACCCCTACCTATTGGATGGATTAAAGGTATTTCAAATGACATGGCTTTTAGGACCCCTACGCTCGCAACTTGTGCTTCCATTTTCAAAGCTCGAGGAGCGAACATGTGGGAAGTTTCTCCAACTTCATTGTCAATGGTAATGAATTATATTTTGAATTCATGGGGGACAATGATGATTATGGAAATTGCTTTTAAGAACAAATGATTCTATTTTTGGCTTGAGCCCAACTACTTGTTTGTTGTGCAAGCTTTTTCTAATCACAACCTAGTTCCTTAGTTGCTTAAAGTTAAATGGCTGGATTGCATCAAATTTACTCGATCAATGTAGTTTATGGTATATCATACTCTTAGAAATTGTACTAACAAGCTTATTAGTATTAGCTCAAAACATAGGATGGTCATTTTGTTTGATCATCTTCACAACTTTATTATGATAGATTTCTTAAAACATATGTATGACATCCCTTATTATAGATATAAGTCTCCTTATAGGTTTTGATCTTGACCCCCTATTATTTTTTCTATGTTCCTTCTTTTTAAATATACTCTTGGCTTTTGGCCTTAGCTTTAAAAAAAATGAACAAGTTACTCCTACTCAATTTTATAATATCTAAAGAAAAACAAAAAATATCATAATATGAGAGATAATAAGGGAGAACCTGGCCGAATGGACATCATATATTCAAATAGATGAAAAATCATGCACCACCTTCATAAATAATCTAACAAAACTAATTTTTACAAGTTCGTGCCTATATGTGCTTGTCAGGATTCGAATATGAGATTTTAAGGGAATCACTGAAGACCTAAATCTTCATTACTAGACCACACACGCACACACGTAGAATTAATATTGAACTTGTAAATTTTTTCAACACACAACATTAATCAAACATTATATTCTATGCGTTTTTATTATTTAAACTTTTTATCTTTCTTTTATTGAGTCAATTTTTTTTTATCTTTTATTTATATATATATTTTCAATTCAATACCTAAAAAATCTCAATTAACATTCTTTTTAGCAATTTAAAATTTTAAAACTGAAAAATATAAATCACCCTTCGATACAATAACTCATAAATAACTATATTTTAAAAGAATCATGTTAATATATATTCTTAAATACATATTAAAAATATTATAATTAAAAAAATTAAATATAATTCATTATAAATAAACGCATATTTAAAATTTTAAAATATTAAATATACGTATTTAAAAAAAATATTTTTATATATAACTTATTAATTTGTACCCTTATAAAATATATTACCTTTTTCTATTTTAAGTAAGCATAGGTTGATATCTCAATTAACTTTTCACTTAACAAGAGATCCAATCATTCATGTATTCATTCATGTTTATTGCTCTAATGACAACATAGTAATAATTATTTTATTCAAAAAATAATAATTACATCATTCTAGATTAATTCAAACTTCTAAGTACATGTTACATAGTGGACAATTATTATCTTCGAGAATTGTTATAAACAATTATCAAGAATAATAAATAATTTATTATAAATGAATAATAAGTTTTGACCAAAAATAAAAATAAAAATAAGAACATATAATTATATACCAAAATAAAAGTCACAGGCTGCCAGCGTAGTTAGCTGGCCACACGTTTCTATATTCATTTTGGTTTTTGATTTTCCTGTACTTTACTTTCTTACTTCATTTACCTATTCCTCCACAACTTGAACAGCACAGAGAGAGAGAGAGAAAACTCAATTCCTCATTATTGGAATTGTTTTTTCTCTCTATATTTTTTCACCTCACATTCACTTTAAGTTCTTACATCTTTTTCAGGTTCATTTGTTTACCGTCGACGGGGTCACCGTGGACGATCTTTATTGATTTCTCCAAAAAAGGAGAAAAAATAAAGAAAAAGTTGAAAGTGAAACTTGAAGTTTTTTTGTTTTGTTCTGTTCTAGCTATCCTTTTGCTTTGGTTTTTTTCTCTGTTTGTATTTTTCTTGATTGGTTGGTCTTGTGTAATGAATAAGTCAGTGAAAAAAATTGGGTGGCTGAGATTTTTGTGACAGAATCGAAGTTTTTCAGAGATCTATCTGGTTTTGGATTCACGCAAAGAGAGGTGTTTTCTTTTTTGGAATTACGAGATGATGAGGATGAAGAACATGACGAATATTGGAGGTTCGGAAACCGAAGCAAGAGGCTTGGAGTGGGAAATGAGACCTGGAGGGTTGTTGGTTCAGCGTCGAACCGCTGACTCGGATATAAACCCGGTTCCTCCACCGACAGTTAGAATTCGGGTTAAATACGGTTCAACCAATCATGAAGTCAACATTAGTTCAATAGCAACATTTGGTACTAGCTGTTTTTTTATTATTATATATTATAGTTAAATAATTAAATTTTGTTTCAGCCCAAATTTATTTATTTAATTGATAGTTATGCAGAAACATTAGATAGAATTACGCGTGTTCTGAAAAATAAATCTCTGTTAATGTGTTTGGTGTTATAGGGGAATTGAAGAAAATGCTTACCGGTCCAACCGGTTTACATCACCAAGACCAGAAGATATTTTACAAAAACAAAGAGAGAGTTTCAAAGGAGTTTCTTGATGTAGTAGGAGTCAAAGATAAATGTAAGTTAGTGTTGATGGAAGATCCTATTAGTAAAGAGAAGAGGTACTTAGAAATGAGAAAGAATGTAACAATGGAAAAAGCTTCAAAATCTATTTCAGAAATTAGTTTGGATGTAGATAGGCTTGCAGGGCAGGTATGTAAATTTTATTTTAATTTTATAATGTGGTTTGTGATTGTATATTTGTATGTAATACTTGAATAATTTGGTTATGATATTGATATGAAATTGCTTGATTAGGTGTCTGCACTTGAAACAATAATTAATAAAGGTGGGAAAGTTGTGGAGGCTGATTTGCTTAAATTGACTGAGAAATTGATGAATCAATTGCTTAGATTGGATGGTATAATTGCTGATGGAGATGTTAAGTTGCAGAGGAAAATGCAGGTAAATGTTCTATTGTGACAAAAAATTTGTTTTTATTTTTTCAGATTAAATTTGTTACGATTCTTGATAGAACAATAAATTTTGTATCGATTAAAATGATAGGATGAAACTTATATAGATTAAGCACCAAAACGTGTGTATTTTTTGTTTGGAAACGCACAAACAAATAGAGATTAAGGGAATAAGTAACTCTCGTTTTGTTTAACTAATTTGTAACTAACATACAACTAATAACTTACTTTCATTCCGTATAACTAATTTGTAACTAACTTATAAATTAATAACTAACTCTCATCTAATGTAAATAATTTGTAACTAACTTGCAATTAATTTGTAAGTAATGTGAATATCTCTAACAAAATTGGTGATAATTGGTGATGTTATTTTGGTGCATAAATATTGTTTGTAATGGTAGTTAATTTTTTTTGAAGGTAAAAAGAGTTCAAAAGTATGTTGAAACTCTGGATATGTTGAAAATCAAGAATTCCAATGGGGTTCATGTCCCAATGAAGAAGCCTCATCAAAAGCATTCAAATGGTCACAAACTGGCACCAATTGAAGAGCAACCGGAAGAGATGTCAAACGGGCACAATAAATTAGAACCAAAATTGGAACAACAAATGCAGCAGAAAGGGTCAATGAATTCAACCTCAGAAGTTGTTGTTACTACAAAATGGGAGACATTTGATTCTCTACCACCATTAATTCCTGTTACTTCATCCAGCTCATCCACCAATAATTCAGTTCAACCAAAGTTCAATTGGGAGTTCTTCAACTAAATAATGCAACCCCACGTGTTGGTCATTGTGTGGATGCTTTTGGGCTTCTTTTTTTCTTCCACTTGGAATGTTATTATTATATTGTTAATTATACATTCTTTTATGTATTTAGATTTGTTTAGCAACCCCTTTAGTCTGTCTTTTACTTTACCGGCAATAAACGGTGGGCTGCTGTGTAGTGTGATTATTGGAGTATCATAAACTAGTTCCATTTCTAATTAATTTTTTAGTTTTCCTCCAATTTTATTTAGTATATGATAATAATGTTATGCATCACAATCTATCAGCATAATCAGATGTCAAATGTATATACTAGTTAAACATCCATTAACTCTTTGTGTTTATGATGGAGTGATTAGCACTATTGTTAGAATTTACACCTTCCTTGATGCACAAGAATTATTGATGCACAAGAAATTTGAAGAAAATGAAGATGAAAAAAAGTACAGAGAGAAAACGTAACATAATTTCTAATTATCTTTTCAATCTCAATTCCGAAAGTTGCATTAAAACAAAACTGAATAACTTTCACTTTATATGCTCAACTTAAATTTAAATGAAAATTAAATAAAATTTAAATGCTAATTAAATATAAATATTGAATTTAAATTATATCTAATACCATTCCTTAATTTATGTTTAACAACTAAAATCAACAACATCAATTTCATCCTTCAAATGGATGAAGTGTTCAGTTTTAATCGTCTTGGTCAGAACATCTGCAAGTTACTTCTTAGTGCTAAAGTGAACAACTTCAAGCACTTCATTTAGAACTTGATTATGTAGAAAATAATACTTAGTAACCATGTGCTTGCTCCTTCCATGTAACACTAGATTCTTGACAAGATTTATTGTTGATTTGTTGTCAATCATCAGCTTCATTGGTTTGCTCACCTTGAATTTCAGTTTCTGCAGTAAATTCATCAGCCAAACAGCTTGACACACAGACAATGTTCCGACAATTTATTTTGCTTAACAGATTAACAGTGGAACCACTGGTTACTTCTTGGAATACCAAGAAATAGGATCACCTAGATACATAAACATGTATCTTGTATTACTTCTTCTATCTACCTTGTCTCCACACCATTCAAAGTCTAAGTAACATATCATATCATATCATAGTCATTTGACGCTTCAGATGGAAACATAATACCATACTTCAGAGTTTCTTTAATATACATGAGAATTCTGACAGCAGCTTGATAATGAGACCACTTTGGTTTACTCATAAACCTACTTACCACTCTAACTGCATAACACATGTCAAGCTTGGTGTTGCACAAATATCTCAGAGAGCCAACAAACTTTTTGAAGGTTATAGCACCTACATCATCACCATCAGAATCCAGTTTGTGGTTTGTGTCAGTAGGCGTGATTGCATATTTGCAATTCATTAGATCAAATCTCTTCAACAACTCAACTTCATATGTCAGCTAATGCACAATGATTTCCTTTTTAGAGTGTAGAATCTCCATCTCTAAAAAATATACTATGTTTTCAAGTTCAGTCATATCAAACACATTCATCAGCACCTTCTTGAACTTGTTTATCTCAGCAGAACATCTACTTGTTAGCAATATATCATCAATATAAAGACACACCATAATCAAATTGTCATTAGAGATATGTTGCACATATACACCATACTCCATTTCACATTTTTTGAATCCCTGATTCTTGAAAAATGAATCAAAATTTCTAGATCTCAAGCTTCTGGAGCTTGTTTCATCCTGTACAAGAATTTATGCAGCTTGTACACCATATCTTCTTTATTCTTTATCATAAATCCAAGAGGTTGTAACACATACACTTCTTCTTGAAAATGACCATTTAAAAATGTTGACTTCACATATAAATATATCAGAGGTCAACTCCTATCTGCATCTATAGAAATCACCAATCTGATTGTTTCATGTTTAGCTACAGGTGCAAACACTTCAAAGTAGTGTAAACCAGATTTATATAAAAATCCTCTAGCTACTAACCTTGCATTATGCGTGGCAATTAACCCATTTGGATTAAATTTATCTTGAAGACCCATATCACCCTGATGGCTTTCTTATTATTTTGCAACACAGTTAACTCCAATGTCTTGTTTCTTTCAATTGCCACAAGTTCTTCCTTTATGGCGTTCACCCACACCTTCTTATTCAGAGTCCACCTTTATGGCACACTGTATGACTTCACCTTTAAAGTCAATCTCAGTATCATGCAACAACTCAAAATCTCCAAGTCTTCTTGGTATCTGGCGAATTCTCTATGGCCTTTGGAACTGCAAGTTCACCTTTAAAGGCAAGTCCTTCATCACAGGTTGGTCCACCTTCAGAGGCTGGTCCACCTTTAGAAGTTGGTCCACCTTCAGAAGAAGAATCACCATTAGAGTCTGGATTAATAGTAGAGTCAGACTCACTCTTAGAGTCAGTCTCACCTTCAGATTTAGACTCTTCTTCAGAATCAACATCAGAGTCAAACTCACCTTTAGAGTCAAAATCATCTTCAAACTCAGAGTCACCTTTAGAGTCAGATTCTCCTTCAGAGACAGTATCTCCTTCAAAGACAGGTTGTTTGTCTGAGTCAGAATTACCTCCAGAGGATTGAGACTTGTTCCAATCTCACGTTTCTGATTATTTCACTATGAGATCCATGCTGACTTCAACTTTGTTGGTGACTGAGAAATATAACTTATAGGAACATATACGATGGTAAACTATAAGCAACACTACTTTGCTTCTATCATCCAATTTCCTACTAGTAGCATCTGGAACATGTTTGTAACAAATAGAACCAAACACCTTGAAGTGGCTCACACTTTTCTTTCTTCCAGTTCACTTCTCCAGAGGAACTACTTCCTTTTAGCTTATTTGTTGGATATCTATTGAGCACATATGCTAAAGTGGAAACAACTTCCCCACAGAATGTGTGAGGCAGATTCTTTTCTTTCAACTTGCTCATTGTCATGTCAAGCAGAGTTCAGTTTCTTCTCTCGGCAAGACCATTATGTTATGGAGTGTATAGAAAATTCACCTCATGCTCAATATCATGCTCCTCATAGAACTTGAACTCAATTAAATTGAACTCACCTCCACCATCGGTTTTGAGAATCTTCAACTTTTCCCACTCCAATTTTTAACCTTTACTCTGAACTTCTTGAACTCAGAAAACACCTTGTGTTTGACCTTTATGAGTGCTACCCATGTTATTCTTGTGAACTCCTCCATAAATGACACAAAATACTTGATCTCTCCATGTGAATGTACTTAAAATGACCCACATATATTAGAATGCACGACACCCAAAGCATGAGTTGCTCTTGGATGCGTTTTTTATGAGAAAGGAAATGTTGGTTGTTTGCTTCTCATGCATATATCACATGATTCCTATGGTGCCACAATATTTGAAATTCCATGTAACCTTTGAGCTCAGATGCCCTAAACTTCTGAAGTTTAGATGTCCAAATCTCTTATGCCACAACTCAATTTCACCTTCAACACCTGTTGCATTAAGACATTGGGTGTCTGTTGTTTCAACATTCATCTTGAATGTCCTATTTCTTTCCAGTTATGACTGCATAATCATCTTCTGATTATAGTCATACAACTTCAAGAGATTGTCCTTCATGATTACTGAAAAACCCTTTTCAAGCAGCTGACCTACACTCATCAGTTTGTTACTCATGTCAAGAACATACCATACATCTTTAATCAAAGTAGTTTTCCCATTCTCCAATTTTACTCTTACATTTCCCATTCCTTCAGCATTCAGATACTCATCATCAACACATATGATCTTGGTCTTTTTACTAGAATCAAAATCAATCAGTCATTGCTTGTTTTCAGTTAGATGGTTTGAGCAGCTAATGTCCATATACACCTAGTATACCATTTCCACCTTCATTCTCAAATGCCATCAATAGAAAAAGTTCATCCTTAAAATCTCCTCTGGCTATGTTGGCTTCTTCACCCTTCTTTCTTTGTTTGACCAGTAATCAACAGTAAAGTGGACAAACCATACAATTGTAGCACTAAACATTTCTATTATCAAACTTCTCCTTTCTCTTTTGAACATTCTTATGTTTCTTCTCATCTAGATTGAAGGGTTTTGACTTATGAGCACCACCACCATTATTTTTCTTGTTCTCAGACAACACTTGCTTCTTGTTCTTCTTGACAAAAGCAGCATTCAGAGCCTGTGTTTGTTTCCCTTCCAGAGTTTCTTTCAGTTAGACGCAGTTCTTGCGCCTTTAGACTATTCTGAAGCTCCTTTTCTCATGGTGCTGGTGTCTTTAGAGTATTATATAGCTATAACTATGTAATCAAACTGAGGAGTAACTGATCTTAGTATATTTTCAATGATAACTTGTTCAGAAAGCATTTCTCCATAAGATTTCATCTCATTCGTGACCACAATCACTCTGGAGATGTAATCAGGTACCTTCTCATCGCCTTTCATGTTGAGATTCTCATATTTCTTGCATAGAGACTGAAGCTTCATTTATTCACGGATGCGTCACTTCCATAGCACCACACTAGTGTATCCCACGCCGCTTTCACCGTTGTCGCATCGACAATCTTCTCAAACACCTTCATATCCACACACTGATAAACATAGAAGAATGTCTTCCGATCCTTCTTCCTCGTATCTCGGTGCATATTTATTTGCACTTATGTTGCATCTTCTGCAACTGACGTGTAAATGTCATTGACAAGATCAAGAACATCTTGAGCTCCAAACAACACGCGCATCTGAATCGACCACCGATTCTAATTCTTTCCTTCGAATACTGGAAGTTTTGTGTTCAAGCTACCGTTTCTGCTGTTCATCTTGTTATTGTGCAAATCACTCAATTCTCACCAACACTCGTGTTTCCCAATCCCTAAGAATAAAGAAATGTGATTCTTCTCCAATTTCGATCTTCAATTTAGTGTGAATTTGAGGAACAAAATCAATCACACACCTCAAGTACGCTCATGTTTCCCGTGAATCAAAATTGGAACTCT